GAAACCGGAAAAATAATTCAATACTGGGGGTTAAAAATTAGTGCTTTCGTCTACCTTGAGAAGTCTCTCTCCTGGGGGAAAACCCCAAGCAATTGCCAGAAGTTTCTTCCTTCCCTATCGGGGTTCATCTTCTTGGAACATAACGGACGTCAATTCCAAGTCGCTGCATAACACTTGCCGCCGTCGCCGAGGACCCTGATGATGAAATTGATTGTTCAGTCCAAAACCCCAGATCTAGTAAACCTAGATCCCTCAACCCTAATCGAAGGTCAAGCAAGGGGTTTTACTTTTATCCTACAATTTGTGTCGTGGAGGGCTCGGCTTTGGTCGCTCGCCGGAACCCCAACCCATCCCCTTTGTCGGCGATGGATATGGCGCGATAGAGCAGGGAGAAGAACAAGAAGAAAGGGAAGGCGTCGATGGTGGCAAAATCGGAATCGAAGAATGAGGCGGGGAAAGTAGTTTGTGACGGTGGCGTGGGTCGAGACAAAAGCAGGGGATGTTCTGTAGGTGATCGATGTGGAGAAAGGGAGCCTCAATAATGTTATTACTTCCGCTCCCAGCAGTGTTTTCTTTGTCAGCTCCACTATCAAAATCGCTGCCGGTCAGATGGTCAATTTCAGGTCTGTGCTTGATAGCTTGAAGAGGCGAAAGGAAGCCTAAGTCTAGCTCCATTGTTAAGAAAATTGATTAATTAGCCTTAGGCTCTACACCTACCTTCAATCGACTCTCTGCCCCATTGGGAACTTCTTAAACAGTTGGGTATGTTAGAGAGAGGGTTGGGAAAGAGATCGTTGGGGAAGAAGGATTGGGAAAGGGAAGGGACTATGTGGACCAAATGAGGAGAGAGAATGAGAATTTTTATTTTATTAATTTTTATTTTCCACATGGCATCCACGTCAGCGTAGCATGCTAATTCACTAACGGTCAATAATGTTGACCGTCCAATTTGACGGAAATTCACGAGTCGGGCCTATTGAGTCTATATGGTTCATAGTTGAGGCCTAGTGTTAGTTAGTGAAACCACGGGCCAAAGTTGATTATATGGTCATAGTTCAGGCCAGAATAAGGTATTAACCCTTAGGGTTTTGATATTCTTATTAGGCTTAACCATAAACATGACTTACACCGATACTTATACTAATCGACAATTATCCCCTTTACTCTCCAAAATAATAACCTAATCATAATAATCCCTCCCCAACAACGGACCAACATAATATCCGAATAGTAAACCGACAATAATCAAATCATAAAATGTGCTCATTATCCCTTTCCCCTTGAAGCACAACCTTTCCCTCAAGGTTGATCCTTCTCGTCTTGATCCACCTTCATATCTATGCCATCTTCCTCATCCACTTCATCCTCCCAACGCCCCAAGAGCATCATCATATCCTTCTAAGTAGAAGGACGCCAGATTGGCTTTCCTCTCCTCGCGCACGTCAGGTTCTTGAACCACCTGTCAGCTGCATACAATCATAACCCAGCATCCTCCTAGCCATTAAATTTTGGAAATTCGATGGTTAGAGGTTTAGCTCGAAACACTAGATCACCATCACCCTCATAGTTCGAGCCATAACATCCATACCTGGCAATACCAGGGGTCATCGCTCGCAGGTGTCCTTGTTGGCTAGTCTGTCCGCGCTCCTGTGCCCAGGTGCCGCCATACTCCTCCCGATCAGTCTTCTCTCTTGCTCCTCCTCGATAGCCCGATCTACTTCCTTGTCCGCACTCTGACTGCTTAGCGGAGCTCCTCTCCTCTCCTCGTGCTGCCTCATACGAGGAGTAACCGCCTCTCACTTCCTCTCGTTCAATACTCCAATCATCTCATCCGCTTCCTCCTTGGCCGCTATCTAGCCTTGCTTCTGCTCGGTTTGCGGCCGAGTAGAACCCTACGCCTTCGACATTGACACGCTCGGGTTGGTTCGACCGATGCGGGGCTGTTCGACGATCCGCCCAGGCACTCGACTTGCCTTGCCCCCATAAGCTTCCTTCTTCATTCTCCTCATATCGCTGCTCTGGTTGCTCGAACATCACATTGTGCGTGACGTTGTCGTACCCTGCCATCTGCGACTTGGCTTTCCGGACTGCGAGTTCCTGTTCTGAGGGAATCGGTAAAAGACCATCGTCTGCCCTAGCCCCCGTGGAGCCTGGATGACTCGAGCTCCCTCCGCCACCCCATCGGGCCTCTCGTCTCGGTGGCCGAGTCCTCCCCCAGCGCAGCCTTTTGCAAGGCCGCGCCCGGGACTGCCTGAGTCCCGCCCTCCTTTGGTCCGGGTTCGGTCGGTAGCCCCACCTCCCGGCCTGTATCCGGAATCCTGTCCAAAGATAGCCCCCCAGACTGTTGCACCAGCACCTTTTCAAGCAGCATCACCATCCGATCAGCGTTGGAATTAGTAATTTCAGCAGCTAACCTTGCACTCTCTGCAACCTGTCGAATGGAACAGTTGACCTCTTTCAGCCCGTCCTCGAGGTTTCCTTGCATCTTGGAGACCTTGAAAATCTCCTCCCGAACCTCGGCCTAGTCAGGCTCCTCAACGCAGTCTCCGTCTCACGGCTGCTTCTCTTTGCCTTGCGCCGTCTTGGCTGCCTTCTCTGCCGTTGTCATTGATGCCTTGTCTCCTGGCTTCTGCACTACGTTCGACGTAGTGACCTTGTCGCCACTATTTTTCTCTTCCTGTGCTCGCGTGGTAGTCATGTTCGGTTGTCCTTTGCACCCAACTGTGGCTCTGATACCAAGTTGATAGACCTCAGGATCTTGGGTGCATTTATTGAGAATGAGATTAGATCAAGTTGATAGACCACAGGATCTAGGGTGGAATTGGGAATGAGATTATATCAATTAGGGATTGATCTAGGGATTTAGAGTTGAGAAATAAGTGGGTAGAGAGTGTAAGGGGGTTCGGCTGAAGCCAGTTGGGAGAGAGAGAGAAAGAGAACTCGGCTAGGGAGAGGGATGACAGAAAGAGGATTAGGGTTTTGATATTCTTATTAACATTGTTATTAAAGCCGAGCCAAGCCGCTCGGCCCGACCGGTAAAATCGACACCCGGTCACAAAACCGGCTCGGAACAGTCTAAAAGTCGCTCAGGTTTTATGTAGCGGTTGGCGAGCGGCTGAGGCGGTTAACCGATCGAGCCGCTCGTCCGGTTTTTGCCATTCAGCCGTTAAATTTAATTAAAAAATTGCAGAAAATTGAAAATTGAAATAAATAAAAAACGACGGGCTCTCAAACTGAATCCTTAATTTCCATTTCGCAATTTCGAAGGAAATATATTAGCTCTGATTAAGAAATGTCCACTATTTATATATACTGATAACGTTTATTAGTTACCGGTTCTCTAACGGTTTTTAAACGGTCTATTGCCAGTTGGACCACTAAAGTGCGAGCCGTTCACATTACCGGGTCATGCTCCGGTTCGGTTCTGACAACATTGCAGTTATTAGGCTTAACCATAAACCTGACTTACACCGATACTTATACTAATCGACAATTATCCCCTTTACTTCCAAAAATAATAACCTAATCATAATACTCCCTCCCCAACAATGGACCAACATAATAATCCGAAGAGTAAACCGACCATAATAATAATCATAAAATGTTCACGCGGCTAGCAGGCAGCTCTGCTCATTGTTCACGCGGTTCGGGGACGAGCTGTATTCCTTCCGGTATTGGCGGGACGATCACCGCTGGTTGCACCACCGCTTTGTTCATCATGAGCGCGATGACTTGGTTCATCTTGTTCTGCATGTCTGCGATGACCTCATTCTGCTTGGCCATTTGTTGATGTACTTCCTTGGCTATCAGTTTCGGCTCTTCTTCCTCTATGAGTACCACATTCAGGTTGCTGATTTCCGCGAACTGTTTCAGATTTGTCATTGCTTTGACTACCGTTGCCTCGTCCAGGGTGCTTGAAGTTTGTCCCGTAGTCTTGGCTTATGCTCTTTCTACTCGCGGCCCCACGGTGGGCGCCAATTGTTTGTGCCTATCTGAGTGTAGGAGTGAGACATGTGGTTTATGGGCGCGAATAAGATAGAGAATGACCCTCCTTTATACTTAGGATTTTAGAAAGTTACAAGTTGGACGACCAAGAAAACAAAATAGGAGGGAGAGTTCCTAGAGAGAGAAGTTTCTTCCTTTTTTAGAGAGAGTCTAAAAAAGGTCCTTTTACCCACCGGAATAAATGTTGTATTTATAGGTTACCTTCTAGTGGGTGGGTGACATGACATTTGGAATAGACAGGGGGCTAGGGAATGATGAGGCCTATGAGCCACACATGACAGTTTGTCAGTGGAACAGTGTCGTTTTGAGTTTCTTGCTCGCGGATCGTATCGCTGCGCGGGCAGCATTTCATGTCGTCTCGCGTGTCGCGTTCCGCTGATGGCACTTCTCGCACGGATGATACTCCTCGCACGGGTCGTGTATTCGCGAGTTCTGCTTGAGTGTTCGTGGTTACTAATAGCGCAGCACGAGGCCCCGAGCGCGCCTTGTCTTATCTTTTGCGAGGTTACTAGCGCAACTGGGCCCGATCCATGCCCCCAACAATTAGTGATAACTTACTAGCTATCAACGATTAGCCATTGGTTGTTCAACAATTAACCGTTGAACCATAAACCACTAGCATTCCGGTTCAACTACTAGTTATGTTATAGCATCAGAGAACGTTTTCTAACTAACTTGACCATAAAGGATCATAGAACCTTCGACTATCTACCTTCGTGCAGGTCCAAGCATTTAACGAAGAGTTAAGCTTCACACTAAAGCTTTCTGAGCACATTCCCTTGACACTTTTTTAGTCTCAAACTTCTAATCTACTTGACTCAAATAACATCTTATATTAGGTTAAGCATTAGAGAATTCTCACAATACAAATTATGTGATGGATATAAAACTCAATTATTAATATCCAATAAAAATCTCAATTGAAACCAATCTCAATTTCCCGGCCTGGTCCAAGCTAGTGCTAAAAGAAAGGAATACAAAATCAATAAGATAAAAGGGATTGTACCCGGATTCAGGAATACTTCAATATCTTCTGAAACGGGAATACGAGTTTCGTAACAAAATCATGCCACAAAAAAACTATAGCATAAATATCACATATTATCGGAATGGTCACATGAACACAAGTACGAGTACAGTCCTTATTTGGTATATATTTCCAGTACATAAATGAAATAGATACGCAAACAATTGAACTGTACCTATACACGTAGCTTTCCTCGAGTGAAATTTACAGCTCCACGAATACAATCCATGTTTGGGACTTTGGGTCTGCAGAACGGGGGTCACTCTCATTTGCCTTTGTTAGTGGTTCACAGTGGCAATCTGAACCAATGGAGGCCAAGCAACATGGTTATCGTCCAAATATCCATGGATGAAGAAATCGACACAGTTCTTTCTGCAGCCATGACTGTATGGATTCTGAAACTTCCCATCTGGTCCTCGCAGATACCCGTAACGCTTGGCATTTGCTATTTCATTCGTGGTAATGTTTCGCGCTATCTGTATAAACAAAAGAGCCATACAAACATTAATACTTGAGGCCAACTTACTCAGCATCGCGAACATGGACAACTGGTTCCGACAAACTAATTACCTGCAACGCCTGTGCTATGGTTAAAGTCAGAGCAGCAAGCAGAATAAAGCTGTCTAAAACCATAAATGCAATAATCCCAGGATGTTGGAACACCAGAAACTGAAGCCAGTTTGCATCTACATGAAAAAATTGCAGCGCAGTCCAGACTCCTGTTGGCATTGGCGAAAGAGAGATAAGGGGTGACATGGCTGAAGTTTCACAGAACCCGAAGAGAACTTGAGGTGAATAAAAACATAGATAAGTATAAGGAAGCAAGAGCAACTTACTGTAAAGTGTAACAGCACCACCGACTAATGACGTCAAGAACCCTAAGAGTACGAAAATGAAGAAATCTCGTTTGTTTCTCTGTAAGATAAGCAAAGATATCATCAGAAAATGACAAGGGCCGATAAGACAGAGAATAAGCTGCAATGTTTCAGAACACACTATTGAACAGACAATAGGATGCCAAGACTCAGACCTTGCCCACACAATTAGATATCCACGGGCAGTGATGGTCAAATTGTTCCACGCAGCGGTTACATGTGGAACAGTGCTTGGATCGAACAGGTCTAATTATCTGAATGGAAGAGTACATAAAAAAAAAAAATAGAACTCAGCCAGGTAGCATCATTATTTTTAAGTACGGGAACTAATTACGATAGGATAGAAAGTTTTTCACTTTCTACTTTAAACTTGCTCATCTATCAGACCTTGCATGTTGGACAAAGCTGAGACCAGTCTCCAATCCATACAGAAGAGTTGTTGAAATCAAAATTTAAGAGTGGATCCTGAAAAGGGATACAAAAGTAAAAAGCATATCATAGAGGACCAATAATAGTGGCGCCAGAAAATTGATATAGCGATGAATGTGCGCGACAATGAACAGGTAATAGACGACGAGGGAACTTCAGGATACAGCTTCGTAAACTAAAGGACTACAATAAAGAAAACTAACTTATAAGTGAAAACCAAGCAAGGTCAATGAACTCGAGGAGTTGCGATACATTTAAGTACCAAACTCATTTAGAGTTGGGAGTCTTTGGGAGCTAAATTTGGGAGGAAAGAAGAGCGGGAAGGCAAATTTGACAGGGGAAAGTGGTGTGCGCAGGTCTGTTCTTTTTTCTTTTTGATGGGAAGCATCTCTGTTTATTGCGGGAAGTAGTGGAGCCAAACGAGCGCACAACATCCCCCAGTGGTGCTCACTTCAGACCTTTTTTTCCTTTTGTCTGTTTGAGGTGTGTTTGAAAGTTTCTCTGATTAAAATAGATGAAAGGGATACTAATCAAATTAATCATAAATAGATAGGTTTTTTCTCTTAATAACAAGCTACGGTCATAAATTAACAATCACAAAAATGTTTAAAAAGTAACTAACGGTTATTTCTTTGAAGAAAACAGTTTACGTCCGCAATAAAAAAAAAAAATTACATCGTAAACTTTGTTTTCAAAAATAATGATTAACTATAAAAAGAAAGTGAAAAACATAAATTAACATGCATATAGGTACGGCCGTACGGGTTATATTAAAGATACAAAATAAAATAACAAACCTAAAAAGATAAATTTTAGAGGTTATGGTTTCGAGTACAAACTTGATTTCAAGATGTAAAAGTTGACATTTAGTTCCCAAGAGGGCTAATTCTGTCCCTTTGTATTTGAGATAGTCTAAACTCTAAAGCACTGAACTAGATGATTTGTTATTTGGGGCACGTTAGGCACTTCGCCCATTTTTTCTTAAAAAATGGAAAGGTCCAAAAAAAAATTTCTTACTTTTCATTATCTTTTGGTTCTCGGAAGTTTTAAACGGTATCAATGAAAAAATGTTTTAAACTGGTCATTCTTCTCCAAAGCACTATAGAAAACAAAGAAGCGTAATAGAACTCTAATCTCAACTCAAGTCAAATTTGACTAGTCTTGTCCAGTTAGATACCGAAGTCCATGCTTTGCTAAAATTTGTTCATATCACCCAATAAAATGTCGAAGTACCGGGAAAAAAAAAAGAGTAGGAAGTGAAGTCCAAAATTTAGTCAACCAAAAGCTAGAAGTTAGCGAAAGAGAGATATAAAACTAGAAGTCAGAGAAAATGATTTCATAATTTGAAGACGTTATTTGACACTACACTTGAATTTGCTGTTACTTCTCTATTCGCTTTCGAATTTGAGAGGTCCGATAAAATTCGACAAGCTTGCAATTTTTCTTCTTCATAAGAGATGAGTATTTCTTGATTAGGAGAATAGTGACAAAAATTGGTATCAAAGTCTAGATTAAGGAGAAAATATCTTTTTGACAGTTTTGCCAGAAAAAGACTGATATGGAGTCGGGTTAGACAAATTGTCAATAAATAGAAGTTGAAAGTTAACTTGACCAAATATTCTACGTATATCTCGTGCCTAAGCTGAGCTAACCGAATTTAGTCCTTCAACCAACTATATTAAACAGAGTTTAGTGCCTAGTATGTCCACCCATATAATTGAGTACAATAACAATATTGATTATTAACTCCCCAAAGCATACACTGGGTCTACTAGGTAAATTCTTAATAGCAAGAAAAGAGGAAAAGCAAAATGCAGATCATAAATCCATAGATAGGTTTATCCATCAAAAGACCATTCACTAGAGTAGATTACCTCTGTATTAGCATGTTTATCCAAATCCTCCTGTCTTTTGATATAACCAGGATCTTTACTGCAGGAATATACAAGTCAATAATAAAGTCAGTAATTTCCATGATTTCCCAAAACATAAGTACACACGACAGGACAATATCGAAATTTCTATACAGAACCAAGTCAGACTTAGAATGATGCTGTAGGATTAGCAATTTCCAACTGGAAATGCTTTGGTTTTCAACAATGGTATTGTCACAATTTCGTGACATGATTTACCAAAAGAATATGATTGCTATTAAGATCACCTGCAAACCTGGCCACGAAATCCCTTAGGACAGTCAACTAAAGGAGCCCTACTGTTACTCTTAACTTGTAACACAAAGGAAGGGGGAGAAATGCAGCTAAGTAAAACCCACACTTGGTTGAAAGTCCCGAATCAAGATTTACCTACTACAGCGGCGAAACATGATCAGTGCCAGAACAGCTAGAGAGAGTGCAATCATTGCCCAAATCCCAATAGCAGCTGTTATCTTTGGGAAACTTGGAGCTAGCAATAGAGTAAGGAGGTGATCAGGATTAACAAAGGAATATATCTACCGAGGCGGCAAAATTCCAAAGCAAAGATATTATATACCTGCAATGACCGAATTAACGAAAAGAAAGACACAAGTGAGGATCATGGACAACAACAATGGAGCAAATCCAATGTCCCTCATCTTCCGACCACACAATTTCTTTCCCAAACTATTGCTTTGTGTCAGCTGTGCATTAGACTGCACCAAATCAAACCACTGTTAGTGTCTGCATAATCATTGCAAATAAAAGCTGAGTCCTGATGCAATGACACACTAAGAACTAGTCATCCAACTGAGAGGTAGAAACAAAGCCACAGTGAAACTCCTGCATCCATGATCTTGCATAATATAACAGACTAAAGCTAGCAGTGCTTCTATTTTTACCTCTTTATATATTTTTTCTACATGTGTCGTCGCCCTATAATTGCATGTTCTCCTGGTCAAGAAGACAAAAAAAATTCCCTCAAGTCACTAGCAAGGAAGAGAGGTCATGAGAAGAACCCTAGCATAAGGTGATGCTAAGTAAGGACCATGGATCCAGCTCCTAACAAAACAGCTATTTGCAATATGTCTGGGTTAAATTCCTAGGAAGTTAATGAAACTTAAAGGTTAAGTTGCAAGCATACTTTGTCGCTCGAAATTTTGAAGGAACAAGAATAATGACAAGAGAATGCCGAAGAGGACAGCCGACACACTTCAACATAAGACTAACATTCTCGGCAAATTGCACCTAACAACTCAACCCGATATCTCAGGACTTAGATCCTAACGTGTGCTCAGTGTGAAGTACCACTGATTTTTCCGACTTAATCTTCTGCATATATTGAGAGAAGAAGAATTATACAAATTACATACAAGGAAATGGGCAACTTGCCGATGACCCTTGTCAGATGCAAGCTCGGCAGGAGTAAATCCGGCCTTATCTTTCACAGCTAGCTCTTTCTTTGTGCCGGCATGCACAAGTACAGAAGATGCCTCTGCATGCCCTGTTAGTGCAGCCCAATGTAAAGGGGTGCAGCCTGAAAGCATTAGAACAGGACACTGTGATCAGGATTTTTAAGTCGGCTCCACAAATACCATTATCTCCGAGTAAAGGTAGATTTGACCCGCAGTAGAAAGGTAATAGATTGATATTAAGGAATTCAAATTCATGAAATGCTGACTTCTGACCGCACCTTCTTTATCTTGTCTTCCTTGGCTAGCTTCTCGAAAGAGAAGTAATCTGATTGTGTCTACATAGCCCTTGTATGCAGCCCTTCTCAAAAAATAAAAATAAAAAGAGGTATTAGAGTGTTCTTCCTTAAGCATACACAAAGTTGTCAAACAAATATAGTGTTCATATCATCCTATAACAAGAAATCGCCAAAGAATCTAATAAGACATATATTACTGGAATGTGTATTGGTTAACAATTAAACTCCAGCAAACAACAATGGCACAAAGAAAAGTGAGCTGTTTTATCTCAAATGATAAAGGACCAACACCTTAGAGATGATATGCTGAAAAGTATAACAGATAACAAACCAGGCCCATGATTTCACATACCAATGAAGAGGGCTCCTGCCATCGCTATCGGGTGCATCAAAATCAGCCAGATACTTCGCGACAATGTGATTTAGGAAAGCAGTTTGTCCATATTGAGCAGCAACATGAACTGCCTGAGCAGACAAATTTACATACAAGCAACAAACGATGAGGCTAGCGTTAACCTGTCCAGGTAGAAGAAAAGGTAACAGACAGCTTGAACAAGGAAATTGAAGCTTTTGCTGTCTGACTCTACAAAAGTTCTTGTCGATCACATGCAACAACTCCAAACAGGACAAAAGTTCCAAAATACAGACCTTGCGAATTGTGAGACATTAAGAATCATAACCATAAGTAAGATTTAACGGGAAGATGAAGCTCCTTGAGAAACTAGTTTTATGTTATTACTCATGAAGAGTGGCATTATCGAAAACCAGCCAGCAAAGCTAACTCTCACAAAGACATGTTGATCTGAAGCACACATAACGTATATTCTTCAGTGATCAAGATATCTTAGTTTAACTAGAACACATAAAACCGATTCCGAGCTAGCAACCTGACCTCCCGCTGACATGGTCACAACTAACCACAATAGCTTTCCCACTGCCAGTACAAGTGAATACCGAATACCATAATAACTTCTAAAGAAGCATACTTGCTAACATATTGCTATAGCCACTGGAAACGTTCTTAAGAAGTGCATGCATGGTCTAAGTAGAAGACGAAGTGCTTACGCGGTAACCATTCACATCAGCTGCCTCAACCCGAGCTCCACTTTGAATAAGCAAATCTGCTACAGCAATCGAGCCCCTAACTGCTGCCCAGTGCAAAGCAGTCTGCTGTGAGTTGTCAGCAGCATTGACATCACCCCCACGCTTCACCAACAATACAAAATCCAGCCCTTAGCTCCAATCAAGTCATCAAATAAAGCATCCAGCAACAGACAGAAAGGTACCTCGATAATGAACAGAGCAATGTGAGTGAAGTTTCCGAGAGCAGCCCACTGAAGAGGATAGTAGCCGTTGCCGTCGGGTATGGAGACGGAGGCGCCCTCTTGTTCGACATAGAAGCGCAGTTTCTCGAAATCTCCGTAAGCCGAAGCGGAATGAACATTCACCACGTTCGACGCTGATGCCGGCGCCGTCCCGTTCGGAGCACCGTGCTGTCTCTCGTTCTGCACCTGCTGTCTAAGGACAGTGGATTCCGTCGGCGATACGACCTCGATCTCTGAAGAAGCCATGGACGTGGATCAAATAATAAAAAAGCCGGCCTGTCACTCCGGCACGATTAGATCAAACAGTGATGATTTTTCTTTCTTTCTTTGTTTCGATGGATGATATTTCGAAGTAACTGCTGCGATTGGAGGTTTAGGGTTTACGCTACGCCCAGAATTGAATGCGTTAACACGGCAGGGCTATAGCTGCTGGTCTTTGTCAATTCCCAGTTCAGTCTGCAGTCGCTCCCTCTTCTTTCGCGTCTTTCTCGGAAGTGGGGATATTTTGGACTTTTGGTAAGCAGCACTCTCTAGCAGCCCTCGGAACAACATCCAAGCGGGAACGGATCAGGTCAGTAACTTTATGGTGAGTAACTATGAGTAACCCACCCACATCAGCATGACATCAGCATCCTCTCTCCCCTGGAAAGCCTTTAATTTTCCCCTCCTTAATCTTTGACGGACGATTTCTCACTCGTTTTAAGTCAAAATTTAATTTTTTTTGCTCAGTTAGATCAGATTAATTGTGCTCTTCAAAATGATATCCACTTTGATATATTTTTCGAACAAAAATAATTGAGTCATTTTATACCAGTCTATACCATATGGTATTGACGGGTATTGAAATAAGAGCATACCTATGGTTTGAAAAACGTACCATAGTGGTATGACACAAACCAAAACTGTAGGATGGTTGAATACATGATAGTAGAAGTATATTAATTGTCATTTGCGACTTTTAACATTGTATACCATAAGATACCACACCGTACCAGGGTGGTATTGTATGGTATTGTGTGGTATTTTTTTGTCTTGTAATTTGTTCATCCAGAAATTTGTAGATCCAATAGATCATGATGAACTCGTCCCTGCTGTGCAAACGTTTTCAAAAACGAATTAAAAACGAAGAAGATACCATATGGTATGCAGTTGGTACCGAGAGGCCAGAATTTCTTTTTCCTCAAAAAATATTGAAAATTGATCTCATTTTGTAGAGCACGATGAACTCGTTCCATCTGTGCAAAAAAAATTAAAATCCGAGTTAAAACGAAAAAGATATGAGTCAATTAAGAAAGCTAGTGAAAATAAAAATGGTCTTTAATTCTCCATCCTTAGATCTGGATTTTTTAAATGAAGGGTCCAGATTTGGTTATTGATGGGTGCATAACCCATGGTTATGCACCCTAACTTGAGCCCATCCAAGCTGCCAATCACGGCTTCCAGCTGCTGTCTGTATCGCCGCAATTTTTATTTCTTTTATTGAAACCTGTTATGAACAATTAGATAAATAAAAACTAGAGGATAAAAAAAAAACTGAATCGCTAAATGTTGTCTACACCTGTTATAAAAGCTGAAAGCCTTCCTCAAAAAAAAAAAAAAAAAAAAAAGCTGAAAGCCAAAAATCCAATCATCATTTCAAATTTCCGAGACTCAAAGGGTTTTGCGGGAAGGTAAATTTGGTAGGCGGCATTTTTTGTAGGGGTGGACAATGGGAAACGGGTATTTGGGTATATCCATACCCGTCCTGTTTCCCGTCCTGTTTTTTAAGGGTTACGGGTACTCAAATACCCGTAATTTTTTTTACGGGATGAGACATTAGATCTAAAATTTCTACAACGGGTACCCACAGGTTACCCGTTAATACCTGTTTGGGTCATACGGGTACCCGGAATACCCGTTTGTGTCACATTTTTTTTTACTCTACTTCGTCTGCAATAGTGTGTGCAGTACAGTTTTGGGTCATTAGTGAGAATGGAAAGAATTAATCTGCTGATTAAATGGCTGCTTTCCACTAATTAATAACCTGACAAGCATAATAATTAATGTTCTTTTCCCCTGTTAAATTTTGGGATTGGTTTTGTATGAAAAGGAAATTGTTTTGTCTGTTTATGTAATGGGAAGATTGGATTAGTGTATGCGGCAGAGAGGTAGAATAGAAGGAAGGCTTTTTTATTTTATTATTATTTTGGTGTATTCTGTTTCTTAATTCACTAAACAAGTTTGGATGATTTTTTTTTTAATTATGAGTATCCGCAGGTACCCGTTAGCCCGTATGAGTTTGGGACATGGGATAGAGTTTACTCTCCAAATGGGATTGAGTACCCATTTCAAACGGGACGGGTACCCAATCCCATCCAGTTGCCCACCCCTAATTTTTGGCTGACAGTGAAAAAAGCTGGCCGCCTTGCCCTTATGCTTCACTAGGCTGATGTGATTTCCCTAGCCCAAAAGATTGAACAAAGCTGACTTTCCTCAACCATCGCAGCATTGCGGAGCACATTCAGAGACGGTAGAGAATCGATAGAGAAGAGGGTCGCCTTTGTTCTTCTGACTTCTCGCGAGGAACTAAATTCCGACGGAAATTTCTGAACCAAGAAGCGATGCGTATCCAATTCAAAGAGGTCTAGAGAGACGAGAACCCAAAAGGCTGGGGGGGGGGGGTTTACGTTTTGCCTTCTCTCGAGGAACTGGATTTGGGTGTGCCGCTCCGTCTGCTGCTTCATTCTTGCATGGTCTGTGAACCAATTTTCCAAAGATTTTTGTTTTATCAGGCCTTGCTTAATCAGAGCCTGTTGAAAACTGCTGCTGCGTGGTCTATCGGCCAAACCATAAAAAGCGATTACCCTCACGGACCAGTCTTTGCCGTTCACGATTCTGGTGGGCAAATAGTCACCAATTCTGGTAAGTGTTTTGGTTTGTCTCTTGTTTTTACTCTGTTAGTGTGGGAACTTAGATTGGACTAAATTTGGCATCGGAATCAGTTTGGTATTTTCTGAAATAATGTGTTGTTGATCATTAGGTTACTTTATATGATTATCCAGTTTGGTAATGGAATTTTCTTATTCTTTGTTTGATAGTTATTTCTTTCTATCACCCTTTACAAGTACTTCGATACAAGTTTTTTCGTTGGATTTAGCATTTATATATAATTCCAAGCCATATGAATAGGAATCTGTTGTCTGAATATCTGATTTTCCTTGAACCCCTTGATTTGTAGTATGATTGGAGTGTATGAAAACATCTGGAATCCAAAATAGTAATACAAGTTATAATTATCAGATGTTTCTGAAAATTAGTCTAGGTTTAATAGTCTCTAACAACATTATGTGGATGGTTGTTCACCATGTTTAATGCATTGTCGCACCGTACGCTGTTAGAACTCAATTTTGTTCTCTCTCACTAAATGTCAGGTCAATATTTTTTTGCTGCATCCCGTGCCACCAAGATCTATTTCAACATCCATTGTCCTTACCTACACCCTCTCTTAAACCAGTAGGTCTGATAATTGTCCATTTGGATAATGAAACACATGCATTTCAATTGATTATCGTTTTGTTTCATGTCACGACTTCTATATGGTTATATGCTTCATTTGGTGTTTGGCGTCGGCTTTTGGGAAGCTGCTGCATTTTGTTCTGTGTCCTGACTTCTATTTGGTTTTGCCTGACTGGGATCTCATTTTCTGTCCAGTTTCTAAAGGTTATTGTGTGGACTTCTCGCATGCTATAATTGTTGATGCCCTCTATTAATATGATCATTACGGAATTTCATCATGGTAAGTCAAGTACTCAACCTTTACGCATACAGGCTGTTGCATCTCTTGAAGAAGGTATGTGTGAAATAGTAAGCAGTACTATTGCCAGTTAGAATGTTTTTAAATGGGGAGTGCTCAGTATATTGCCGTTGCTGAATTTGTAGGTGAACTGAATTGCCAGCCACCACATTTTGCTGACTCTGGCCAACCACAACAGAATAGACCATTTGCCCCTTGTGTGTTTGTTTATATTTAACCGTATTAGTGTAGTTGAATTTGGGAGCCTTATTATGCGCTTTCCTAATCTGGTTGTAATGCAGGGAAAGGGAGAGCCATATTTTATCATCTAGAAGACACTTATCAAAGGTGTGTCATGTCCGTAGAAGATCAATAAGTTTATGACAAAGGTACATATGGTGATATCAAATTACTTTGTGAGGATACCTTGTTGTGATTTGTGCTTATGGTTTTAATTTGTATGTGGGTGTGTAGTAAAAAAACGGTTGCACGACGAATTCATGAAAATTTGCAGAAAGTTGTACCAAGCTACTAGACGAAGAAGGCAGCTTATTCTTCAAGATAAGAGACGTAGGAGGCGATCTGTGGTTAAAGGTAAAGGTAGCCATTTGTAAAAGTTTTTATCATTGCTTCTATGTAAAGATAGTTTGTACTTATTTATATGCTCACTACATTCGGTGTGGTAATTTTCCAGGTTCTACGCGTGTTGAAATGGAGTTTGCAACGCTTTTGGGCAAACGCAGTAGACTAATGTGCCGCATTCACTTGCATAGACGTTTGGGACGAACCTACATTCAGCTTCAAAGAAAGCTATGTATGTTGTATTTAGGAGGGGAGCTTTTTATAATTGATGTGATGGGATTGTATATATATGTATCTATACTCTAAATTTTGTCCAATTGTATCTATTGGTTAGGGTACTATGTATTTGCATGAGTTTGTTGATAGTTGTATTGTAATTTTGTATATATATATATATAGTTCCTTATCTGTATGAGTTTGATACCTGGAATTCAAATTTTTAGTTCCTCATCTATATGAGTTTGCATTGTGATGGAGATTTTTTCTCCTGTCCCAGTGAAACTTGATGCATTTAATTATAATTCTTTTTATTCGTAGGGGTTATTCAAGTGGTATTGGTAAAGCATGAAAGTAGCATATTTTATTACTAATTATTATTTTATTATTATGGTAGAATTTCTTAATATTAATCTAAGTATTTTTGTGCTTATAGTTATCCCTTTTTTATAATTTATTATAGGTATCCCTATTGTTGAATATTTTGATATTGGTCCTCCATCATGTACCTGTCAGCATTGTGGAGCTCTCATGTGGCGTTTGGAGAGCACTTTATCTACAAGAAATTATTCCACGCCTTCATTTTCATTCTGCTGTAGAAAGGGAATGGTCAAACTCCCTGTTCGTAGGCATCCTCCTCAATTCCTGAAAATGTTACTTGAAGGTGATACCCCAGAAGCGCGTCATTTCCGTATTAATAGTCGAGGATATAATGGAGTGTTTTGTTTCATATCTATCGGTGGTAAAGTCAACCACTCCATTAATGATGGCCGCGATGTTTATGTTTACTCAATTGGTGGTCAGATTTATCATCGAATTGGAAGTTTGGTTCCTCCTGAAGGGATGAGTCCAAAATTTGCACAGTTGTATA